TTGTAAACAAACTTATGAGTAATGATACATTTATTAATTAAGGCTGCCAAATATTAAATAGTCATCAATAAATGAAGATTTACAATACATTTAAAACAATATAAGGTAATAAATAGCAAGGTTTGTATTGTTTATTTTGCTTTGATGGTTATATATCAAAGTCTAAAACAATATTTATTATATTTCTGTAAGAAAAGTTAATTAACTAAAAATTAAATTTTAAATAGTCCTTAATTAGTCTAATTTTCTTTATCAAAATAGGTTTTCCAGTAATTGTATATTGAGTTAAGGCAGTTATTTATTTTAAAATCATTTAAAATATCCATTTATATATTATTTATTGTTATTATATTTTCTTATATAAATCTTATAGTCATATTTATATTTCAATTTTTAATTGTATATTGTTTTGTTGTTCTCCAGTTAACTGAATAAAATATTATTTTTTTTATTTTACGACTAGATTAAGCATCTTAAACGAAATTATCTCATATGATTAGATATGAATGATGTATAAACAATAAATGTTAATGTTAATATTAAACATATAAATATTATATCGACTAATTTAATAAAAAAAAATGCAAATAGAATAATTTTATTTTCTAAATCATAATATTTAGGTAATTATATATTTTAAAAATAAATCTGGTTATATGTAAAAAAAATTGAAAAAAAATTGAATATTTACTAAACCTTTATTATTATTTAATTAAAAGGTTGTTATTAAATTATTTATTCAAATATTATATAAATATTTAGATATATTATAAAAGTAATAAAAAATATTTTGAAAATAATAATTTCAACAATAAAATTCAAGAAATATGTCTTGTGAATTTTCATTTTTATATTAAATAAAATAATTTAATTCATTTATCTATTAACGATTCTTTCAAAAAGTAACATTTTCATAAAATGAAGTTTGCACTTATCATATCTTATTTCTATCTTCTATATTTTCATCACTCACTCTCTCTCTCTCTCTCTCTCTCTCTCTCTCTCTCTCTCTCTCTCTCTCTCTCTCTCTCTCTCTCTCTTTCTCTTTCGTCCCGTCTCTGTGATTCTCATCCCCTCTCAGTTTGTTCTCTGACATACACATATCATGTGACCGCGTAGAAAGACATATAACTGTTCGTCCTTTATTTTTTGAATTTTTTATTATTTTTTGTTCAAGAACGTGAAAGGCTTTCTCTAGTCGAACTTGATTATAATCGAGTTCTAAATCAATTAGTCCATTGAAGTAAGATTCAAAAACAAATTTTAATCGCTTTACCAGCCTTTTTATAATACTACGATCTATCATGTAAGCTATTCATATAGAAAAGGCGGAAGATTTTCATTAGATTCTGAACAGTGTAAATCTTTAATAAAGTTCATTATCCTTTAGTTTTTATGAAATCAAAGTGAACTGCAATATATAAAAAGATTAGAATGCAAATTTACAGCTTTAAACGAAATGTTAGAGATTCTATAAAATAAAAAAAAAATAAAAAAAAAAATTAAAAGTTTCAACCATTCCAGCTTGTGAATTAATAATTAATTCAATATAAAAAATTTTTAAAATTATATCTAAATATAGAAATAGAAAATAATAACGAAAAAGATTTAAAATAATAGAAGAATAGTGAAGAAGAAGAAAGATTCAAAAGATATGATGAAGTTAAAGAGACTAGAATAAGAGAGAATGCGATTTGCCTACGGGGCTTTCCAACACTTAAGCTACTGCGCTCCTACATGCGATAGAATCCCTCGGTGATATTACTGGAGAAACTCTTCAAAATCTGTCAGAAGTTATCACATTTATGAAGACTCAATTTTCTTTTAAGCTCATGATGAAGCTCAGAAAAAGTAAAGAATCAAATTTAATGATTGAAAGTAAAATAATGTAATAGAAAGAGCAGGAAAGAAATATCGACAATTAGATTGCATCCGAATAGAAAGACGAAATCATTTATACGAAGAAAGAAGCGTACCAAGCTATTATAAAAGCATATAAATATATAAGTTGATAAGCGTTCTTAAATAAAAAATAAACTATCATGCAAATTTACATGTTCACAAGTGTTAATTTAAGATTAAAAATTGAATATCTACATTTACGCATACATGCAATCAAAATATGCAAATAACTCTAATAAAAGTTCAGAAAGAACCTTTATACCAACTATAAAAGCATACTGGTACTAAAAGCCTAGAATAAAAGCGAGCAATTTAAAAAAATAATGAAAAAACCTATGAGTAAGTAATGAAAAATGGAATAAATGTATTGAGAACGTTTTTATTAGCTTCAAAGATCTGTATAATTTTTAAACTTATAAACAAAATGAACATTTTCATAGTATCGTTAGAAAAAAAATCATAAAAATAGCTCAAGATTGGATTAAAATATAAAATTAAATTATAATTAAAAATCAAATTAGCAAAAAATTTTTTAGTTTCTTACAGATTTCACAAAATTCCATTTCTAAATTCTATTTTTTCATTTCTTAACTTACACAAAAAAAATTGCTTTATAATTAAATATAAATTATATTTAACTTTGAGAATAATGTAAATAAAAATTAATGAACCTGATCATTCAATTAATTAATTGAAGCAACGATTATTAATAATAAATTAAAGTAATTTGCAATTCTATTCGTAATCAGAAATACATGTATTAGATTAATTTATTATTATAAATAATAGAAATGTACAGAATATTATGTAAATTAGTCCGAATGAGTTAAATGCTTTTATATCACACAAATTACTATTTTTCTAACATTTCTTTAATTCCTAATTTAGATTCTGTAAATTTTGTTATCTAATCAATTATTTCATTAGCTTTCAAGCATATCTGTGAAGCTCTGCTCATATTTCTTAACAATAAGCCCGAGAAATTTCTCTCTTCTACTACACACCAATCGAACAAATTCAAAATAGTGGAACAAATTAGTAAATGATAGAGATAAGACAAAATACGGGTATATAAAATCGTGAGGAGAAAGTTTCAGAGAGAAAAGGAAACGAGCGACACGCGTTTAAACTCCTGAATTCAGTGACTATAGACCTAAATTGAGTCATAATCGTTCATAAAATACATTCATTCGATATAAAATCATTCATATATCGACTGCGCTATCACCGATGCCTGATAAAATCAATTTACATGCTTTTTTTTTGACAGCTTTACACCATCATGCCAATAATATACGAAAAAAGAAAACAGAAAACTTCTTGATTCTTAGACTGCGCGTGACATATCATTTACTTAACTACTTACTTTTCATATAAATTTCTTTTCTTACATGGCTGCTATTTAATTTATTTCATTCGGTTAGATGAGAAATAATTTAATATAAAAAATAGACTAATATTATACGCATGAAATTGCAAATATCATCTAATAAAAATCTGAGATGTTTCATTGGTTAATTAAACATTTATAATTCGTAAAGTAAGATGCAATTATACATGTTAAGGAATGAAAAATTAATTAGATTTATAATCTAATTAATCTGTGACCGAAATTATAATTTCAATTATGACAGACAATTTATAATCATTTGATAACGTGTGATACAGAATAGTCAAGCAAAGCTTGTGTAGTTTAATAGAATTATGAATAAATGTGATAATAAGCAGGTCATATTGAATCAAAATTTTTAAGTATAAAAAATTAAAAGCTTTCGTTAAACGTTCAATATTATTAGCGAATTATTATTATTATTATTTAATTATTTAATTACAATATTATTATTCAATATTATAAGCCTAAAGTATTAAAAAATTGTAGACTAAAAATTTATGAATTTTATAATAGGAAAATTTTTCACTCAAAAATATATATAATAAAGCTTATATAAAAAATTGTTAATATATCTTTAAATATATAATTGTGAATTAGTTATATATTCATTTTAAAGCCTTCAATTAATAACAAATATTGATATAATATATGTATTATTATAAATTAATGTAATGTTAATATTAATCGAATTAAAGTAATATTCATATTTAAAATTTTGTTATACAGAATTATTTATAATAAAAAGCTTTTATATTCTTATTTGTACTTCCGTATAATATATATATATATATATATATATACGCGCGTGTGTGTGTGTGTGTGTGTGCGCGCGCGCGCGTATGTATTTGTATTATTTTAGAATAAAATGTTAGTTGAAGAATATTTTAAATTTTTTACTTTGTAGTGGTATATGAAAAAAATTAATAGATTTGCTGGATGTATCTCAAAGTGATATGTAATTATTTAAACTTAAATAAACAATTCGTTCTCAAAATCTTTTCAAACCATTTCAAAACAGTTTTTCCATTCCTGCAATTTTTAGTCTATTTTTTTTTAATTATACAATATTTTATCGTGATAATTATAGTAATATAATAATAATTGATGAGAGCGATCAGTAGCTGATTTAATTTGTTAGTACGTAAATTAAATAATTTTTAATTTCAATTTTTGTCAGTAGTAAATAATGTTTTAATTTTTAAATCGTGTAATTAGTTAAGATTTAATATGTTGGATACTCAAAAGTTTAAAAAGTGCATGCATTTTATATGAAATATAGACTGACATAGAAATATTTATACTCATTCTTTAAAAAAAGATATCAGGTTTCAAAAGAATTTTTAAAAAATAATTAATTCATCAACTTTTTTTTCACACTTTTTGCACAAGCTTTAAAATTTTTTTATCAGGCTTTAAAAGAGAAAAAGAGAAAAAAAGAAATACAACCAATTTGTAAAAACTTTCTGATATGTTTTAAGTATTTTACAAAACCTGATTTATCTTTGGTATTAAAAATAGTTTTTTTTTTTTATTTTCCACCTAATTTCAAGCAACTATAAAACTATAATTTAAATAACTGAAACAATGATATTTTAATAATAGAATTTACAATCACTTACGACAGTAGTGGCTTAAGATTTATGAAATCCCGTGTATAATTAAATTTAAGTTTAATGGCAAATGTTTCTCTTTACTATGCTTACAGCTAACACAAAGCCGTTGACATTCGACGAGGTTTACAATCAAAGCAGCCCAACCAATTGCACCGTTTACTGCGGAGGCCTCACTAATGGCCTGACGGAAGAGCTCATGCAGAAAACTTTCTCGCCTTTCGGTTCGATTCAAGAAATACGAGTTTTCAAAGACAAGGGCTATGCTTTTATCAGGTACGGCCCTCTCTCGTATTATTTCGAATTTTTGTATGGTTTTACTGTATGCGCACTTGACATAAATAACTGACTTATCGAGATGAGCTTTTTCTTACGTATTTATTTATAAGATTACTAGGCTCTCTTTTCATTAGAATATTAAAAAGCAGAAAACCTTCTTATAAGTATGGATTAATAATTATATATCAAGTATACACGCTTAACGAACATTACTATCACTATTTTGTAATTAAAGTAATAATTTTTCTTTTAATCGAGTAAAGTAGAATGAGCCTAGATTGAACGTGAAATAGAAAGGAAATATGAAATTGAGCAATGATGACTGGACGGTCTAGAATAAAAGGTAGAAAAGAGAATGAAAAAACTTTATTGCTTACTAGCAAGTTTCTTCGATTTTCTCAAAATAAAAATAAAAATCAAAGTAAAGTATTCAAACTGTCTGTTTAAAACTTGAAGTATTTTGGATATAAAGCAAGTTTACAAATTTTTCGTTTCTAGTTTTTATTTCGTACTTAAAATAGTTCTTGTTAGCTAAAGAAAATTGAGTAATTGATCATACGCGTTCGTGAATATACGGACAATAAATAATTTGTCTATAATGAAAAGATAATACATATGTTTATTGAGACAATATTTTATATTGTTAAATTAAATTAAAATCAAGCACAATATATTATTACTAAAGGCCATTAAAATTATAAGTTTAAAAATAAGCGAAATAATCCATCGATAATCATTAAATATTTTTTATTATTAAATTTTATTTTTATTTATCCGCCGATCCTCTATGACTCTCAACTATGATGTACATCAAATTTTGTCTCTCAACACACTTGAGATTTATTTTTGGCTCATGTTCTCCTGACTCTGCTGAAACGGCTTCTCCTCACGGTCATGCTTTATTTGAAGTAGTATCCTTAAAACGATAGAGAGAAAGAGAGAAAGAATCAAAGAAGGAATCAGTGAAAAAAGGAGAAGTGAACAAATACTACCGTAAGATATAACAAGAGCAAAACGGACCTTAAGTACAAGCTTGTCGGTATTACTCGCAAAAAAAAAAAAAAAAAATGGCAACCGCAATCGAACCGATTCCATCAAACAGAAGCAGAGGATCCAGCGTTTTGACTATCTCCTTTCTAATTCCGACGCTAGTCGGCCAATAGTTGTGTATAAGTCTCCACCACTCCTTTTCTCTCTCTCTCTCTCTCTCTCTCTCTCTCTCCCATACATTTGGCGGCGTCGTCTCGATCTCCATCGTCCGTACCGAATGAATTCAATCCTTATTTCACGAAGCACCTTGCCACTCAACCCACTATTCTCGAAGCGAGGAAGCAGGCTACCCGGTAACGGAACGCCTTTTCAATGCACAGGGGATGAGAGTTCCGTTGTCTTCCTCCGTCATGTTCGTAGAATCGGTACTTTGGAAAATTTAGGTCACTTTGCCTATCTAATTTTTCTATGAAATCCGTATAAATTTCATTTATTTTATATCTTCTACTTACATCCCTAATAAATTAATAATTACTAAATTACCTTAGATAACTTAATTAATTGCAATTGATTCGCATTTATGTATTTCGCTCGCGTATATAAAATGTATTCTTTATTATTTATAAAAATTTTATTTACATACTAGAATTCACTTGGATTTTTCATAATAATAAGCCATGACAAGCGACGCGAAAAAGAATAAAAACTCGGGAAAAAATATAATATTACACGTCCAGAAAACAATCTTAGAATTTTGTGCTTTTATAATGAATGAATTAAAATATTATAAGGAGTTATAATTTTTAATGAAATTTAGTAAATATTGATACTGTAAATAAACACACAAAAAAGAGTGTAGCTGAAGTTTAAAATATAGTTGTTATTAGAAAAAAAAAATTGACACATAGATTAATAACTTGAGTTCATAATCACATATAACTATGAATATTCAATGGAGCATCCATAACTTCAATCAAATTATATACTGCAATTAGATATTATTATTAAAATATGTTCGAATTAATACTTGAGGAATTAAAAAAAAAAAAAAAAAAAAAAAAAAAAAAAAAAAATATTACGTCTTTGTGAATAATTCATTTTCAAGAAAATTTCCCTACGAGAACCTAAATAATTTTTAACAATACAATACATCGTATTCTCTCCCCAAATAAGTGGCACTAAAACATTGCAATTATTTGTCATATTATTTTTAAATTATAAAATCGAGTAGATTATTCGATTGACGCTTTCGAGTAATCATAAAAACAAAACACCCAACAATTTTGTTTGCATTAATGTGTAATGTTGGTTTACCTGATATGCACAAAAAATTGTAAAACACTATGGTTCAATTTAGTATATTTTCTCATCTTCGCAAGCGCACATTAAATGACCAATAACCCACTACTTTATCGCATTCATTCTTTAACGTGACGAGTTGACGAGAATAAACTTCAACATAACTAATTTTCCGGAATTACAAATAAATAGAGCTGTATAAAATAATGAAATTCTTTATTCAACGAACGCCCTATTAAAAGAAAATAGTAACTATTCCATTTATGCCATTTGCTCAATTACTTCATTTTAGTAACAAAGAAAATAATATAGAATTTTTCAGGCTAAATTAGAAAACTAAATATTCTCTTGCTAAAAAATACTTAATAACTTAAAATCTCTACCTAATAATATTTAAATTAGCTCAATTTATTAAATAAATTTAAATAAAGATTTCACTAAACTTAAAATCTAAAAGTTTCTACTGAATTTTCTTGAATTAAATAGTTTTCATAACGAAAGACTTTTCAATATACTAATTTCAGAGCAAAAGTAGATGTACAAATAATGTTCAACATTAGAATAATTATAAATTCGAACTTGAAATTCACTTTCATTGTTTTCAAAAAATAGTTTCACAAAGTAATACAAATAACCAAATTTTCAATACTACACGATAAAAAAAAATAATATAAAATGAAATAAAAGATAATAAATTTATGATTCAAACTTTTACAAAGTATAACATGTAGGATACAAAAAAGGCTAGAATAACATGAAAATAATTGATTTTGAAATATTATAGAAAAATAATCAAACCTATACATTATCATTTTATTTAAACATATAAACAGCCATAATAAAGTGTAACTTTCCAACAATATTATTTGAAAGACTGGATAAAAGAACATTAAACTGTAAAACAAATAATAGTGGTAATTTATCTTTTTACATCAACTCCTATTGTTAAAAAAATGATATGACAAAAAATTTTTATCAATAAGGATGTATTTGTACATATTAGAGGATAAAAAATCTTTGAACATAAATATTTAGTTAGCATCAGTAACGGACATTGAGAGAAATAATTTTTGTATATATATAAAAAAAAAACTAATAATAATAAATAAATAAAAATATAACTTATAACTTATCATAACGTATTTTATTAAATTATTTGAAAAAGTAAAAGAATAAGTACAACTTTAAACGAATATAGAATTTTACTCTCAGATTTAACTACTATGGCTATTGCCGAGCTAAAACTTTATATCGCAGTGTTATGAAGTACATAAAAGCACTTGGAAATCCTATCTAATTCGGAATATTATATTAACAATATATTAAAAATCATTATAATATCATTACAATCGTTATAATATGATTTATATATTAAATCTAAGGAATTAAATTCTAATTAAATTATGGTCGATATTACTTATCGAGAATATAGATAAATACAGTACGAATGTATCATTTTAAAAACTCGCGGCTGCTTCTCGTTATTAGAAATCGTTATTAGAGTAGAGGCGACTAATATAATAAAATTACATAGGCAGCTGTCATGCAAGAATGTAAGGAAGTATCAACGCGAGTAATTTCATATGGTCAACTAAAGCTCGATTATACACAGGAAATTAATGTGAGCCTATCTATTATAAATCCTGTTTATTTAACAAACTTAATACTAGTTTGGATGATGTGTTTCATAAATTGTGTTTCATAAAATTATAAGATGAATTAAAATATTATTATTATTATTAAAGTGACTCGGTTCATAAAAGTTATTGCATTAAATAGAAATTTTAGCGACAATTTTTAAAAACTAATGCACTATATTAAAAGAAAACTTTTCTTTTTAATAAAAATTAAGCTTAAATTTAATTACAAAATTATTAATGAAAAATTATGCAATAAATAAGAAATGCATCTAAACAATAATAATGATCACATTGACGAATAGGAATAATAGAAAATAATCAACCTTGTACTAAATTTTCGATTTTTTTGTAATTACAATAATTTGATAATAATAATATGACAATCATAACGGATTATAATATTGTGAGGAAATAACGATAATTGTAATTATCCAACTCTCTCTCTCTCTCTCTCTCTCTCTCTCTCTATATATATATATATATATATATATATATATATATATATATATATATAGCGTTGAAATATATATATATATATATATATGATAACAAAACAAATTACCTCTCTGACAATTGTTCCCTCTGCGAGTTTTTTTCATTTCTACACGGACAATAAGTAATGCAACCTACACTTGCACGCACCCCGATTAGCCTTAAATTATAATGCACCAGCGATTTGTCGACGTCAACGTTTCTACGTTAAGGCGGATCCTAGATACTTAGCTATTTGTCGCCAAAAGCAATATCCGCAGAGGCGGCGATTTCCGGTTAGCAAGAAAGAACGTAATCGAGGGAAGAGAATTGACCAAGTAAGGTCTGCGGCTCGATCTGATCCCGCGCCAACACGAGATCAGCATAATATACAAGAATCCTTTTCACCCTACCGTCCCCCCCCCCCAGTGACCCGCCATCTGTGCGCGGGATCTCATTCTTTTTTGCGATTGAACACGCGCTCCCGTCGACCAGTCACGCAATCAGCAATAAGTGTGCGAATATTAAATATTCGATGCCCATTATAATATACAATGCCAACATATTGCTGTATATAGTATAAAAATTTTCATTAAAGCAAACTGCTACTACATCAGCATTTATCTTTCCCCTACTTTTTAATAATAATATGGACAATTTTCAATATTAATAAAACATACGATTTGTTTTATGCATATAAAGGGTTGAAATTTTTATTGGAAATGTCCCATATTGCACTTTATATATAAGAATGTGAATAATTTTTGCTTGGCTCTTAATCAAAATTAAGAAACAAAGAAAGGATTGAGCGAATCAAAATTGTGAGTCCCGTTGTACTTAAAATACTCAAACCTACCTATGCTGCGGCTTTGTCTTGATTAATATCCATCGAGAATTTACACAATGCGGTTACCGAAGCAACGAACCGACGACAATGACAGAGGGAATGGACGAGTAAGACGACGACGACGACGACGACGACGACGACGACGACGACGACCGTCCAGGATGGTCCCCTTGGATTTTAGACTTCTCGTTCGTATCATTGTGCAATGAATAGTGCGTCTCCAGCGAGTCCTTCGCGAATTAATAGAGCATGCACGCTTCCTTTCTCCAGAGAATTCGAATTCGGAAGTGCTGAGAGACTAAAGTCTCCCAAGAGATCTAAATACCGACTGGCCTACGTGTCTCTTTTTTCCCAGTAGGTTCCTCTCACTCTCATCCTCCATATTTTTTCTTATTATTATAATGTTCAAACTGTTATCTCGGAGTACTATATCCTGCGTCAATTCGTCGGGATCATTGTCCTTTAAAAAACAATTCGTGCAAAGAGACGATCGAATGCTTATGTTTCATTATAAGAAATATATAGATGAGGATAAGCTGAAAGCAATTGTAATGCAGATCTGTACAAATTCTCACGTATGCGAGCATTTTCATATCATAAAACATTTTTCATATTTCTTCTTCTTATTCATAACTTTAACATATAATTGACTCCAAAGATTAATTGATCGCCAGAAGTTATTCTTCGAAATTAGCATAAAATATACATCCATGTATTAATGGGCATAACTTTTTATTATTATAATATTTAAACATTGATATTTAAATTAAGGAATAATATTTGAATTAAGTTGTAAGGGCCAATAAATAATCCCGGAGACAAAATAGCGAATAAAATTTAACGAAGATTAATATTACCTTAACCGTCTAAAATACAGATCAATCAAAATACAAAGTAGTGTACAATCTTTTCAAGAATATATTTTTTACATGAAGTATAATAATTGTAAAACTTTATAAAATAATTTTATAAATATTTACACAAATAATCTATTTTTCATTAACTTTCTCTATTTTAAATATGTGATAAAATTGAATTATTCATTATCGATTTAAGTTTTATTCACCAATCGACTATCTATAAGCCCATGTTGTATTTCATTCATTATGTAACATTTATGATATCATTTCCGGTGTCCTCATTTGATAATTAAATTCTTTATTCCTTTACGTATTTGTAATAAAATTTGATAATTTTCATTATAAATAAGCTACATATAATCCACCCATACAAATTACATTAATGAAAGAGCATGAGAAACGCATTTATAACATGAACAACTAAATAATAAAATATTTTTCCAAAATCTATTTTCTACATAAAAATGCTTTTAAATCTTTTCTTCGACTAATGTTAGTTTCAAAAACGATTTCATCAATTGTTTAATAATGTAAGTTCGACATCGTATATGTGCATGTATATATATATATATATATATATATATATATATATATATATACTGTATCTTTTCACTCTTCGATCGAGACTTACGTCTTTTTCACTCTCGGTGTCGTAATTAATTCTCGCATCGCTTACTCTTATGTTTGTGAGTGAGGTGAGACGCATGCATTCTTGAATCCGCTTTAAACTTTTTATCTCATCAATAACGAGCCTTCCAAGCATTAACTTAAACTAAAAATAGCAAAAGCATTCGCTCGATAAGATAAGGGAGAAAGATTATTAGTGGGAAAAAGAAATTTTAGAAAGTCTTTTTTGTTTTCCTGCACATCTCAGCGACTGAAGCAGATTAATAATAACTTGGGCTTGTTCCTTTGTCCGTTGCACAGATTTTCCACGAAGGAGTCAGCGACGCACGCCATCGTTGCCGTCCACAATACAGATATCAACGGCCAAACAGTAAAGTGCAGCTGGGGTAAGGAGAGCGGAGATCCCAACAATGCCCAGCAAACTGGACAGGTAAACATACGAGCTTCGAGCTCACCACTGTGCGCCTATACATTAACTTTTTTCTTTTATACTTCTATCTTTTCACTTATTTCAACATTTTTAAAAATATTTCGATAATATTTTACCACATTTCTAATTTAAGGCACCTCGAGTATTAATGAATCGTTAATAAATAGTTTTATATTTAGTATTGAGTTTGAAAATTAAATGTACGGAAATTTTCAAGGCCTTTACAGATATAATTAGGAAATAATATTTTTTTACTACATCGCGTAACTAATTGAATAACGAAGCTCGAAACTATTTATATTAAAACATTCGCTTAAGTATTCTACGTCTTTCAACATGTTTTAGATTTATTGTTATTATTATTGTCGTTGTTGTTATTGATGTTGTCGTTGCTGTCGTTGCTGTTGTTGCTGTCGTTGTTGTTGTTGTTGTTGTTGTTGTTGTTGTTGTTCTTGTTCTTGTTCTTGTTCTTGTTATAAATACTGTAGAAAAATACTGTAAAAAGATTCCATCTGTATAATTGTAGCTGCTTTTCAGTTGTACATAAAGTTTGTAGATGATATGATCGCTATGAGTGGATGAACGCTAAGTCGTTGAATACAAGGTAACTTGCATTACAGCGTGAGCCTCCTCGTTCAGCGTTTCAGATACCAAGAAAGCAGCAGAGTTACTTAGCTGCCCTATTAGCGTCGACATTGTTGATGTTAGGTCGGCTAATCAGCTATGAGCTACTTTCCGCGGCACTCCGGTTTTAAAGATAACTAGCCGTGGAAAATGGTGCAATATGTCAGTTAAGTCTGACAAAATTATTATTCATAGTATAATAATTTCAATTAATTTCATCGGATAATAAATATGCTTAAAACTATTATTGGATAATAACTGAGATAGTAGGATGTGGCAGTTGGTAATGCATAGAAGTAACTCGAGTCTCGGTGTCGCTCGGCCAGTCACGTTCGAATCCTCTCCTATGCCGCTGAGAAATTAAAATTTTCTGTTAGACACAGGCCACCGGGACATACTTTGCTTCATTAGGATGGTACAACTTAAGCAAAAAATAGTTTAAACAGAACTACCATATAAAAAATACACTGCACAGGCTATTAAGAAAGCAGCTCTACCTTCAAGGCCTTCGTGCAAAACTCTCTAAATAAAGTTCCGCGCTATTTCTATTCCCTCTTAAACTCTCCACGCCCTATTTCGTCGGCTATAACGAGCACGCGAATCTCGGTCATATTCTCACGCAAACCCTACGTTTGTATTCTCGTGCGATGAATCAGCGCTCATTATACTGTGTACACATATAACTTCTGATACATTTTCAAATGCTTAAGGGAGCTAGGCAGTCATAAAATCGATTTTTCTATTGAATTTTTCGAAATAAAAACGCTTCTAAAAAGTGCAACGGCGCAACGTTCATATGACAAATTCTTCAAATTGTTGATTTTTCAATGAAAAACAGTGAAGCGCTGCGCGTAGTCTTTGCAACGTAAATAAAAGCTTCAAACGCATTTGTCCTAAAAACTATGTAAGATAACTTTTCAACGCATTCTCATATTACCGAGAGAAAAAAACATTATGAATGTACGAAATGTATTCTATTATTATACGAAATACTGAAAGCTCTGTAAACGCTGCCGTTGTTTCGTTATTTTTAACTTTTTTTTAATTAATAACTTCATATTACGTAGAGCCACATCGCTGAAATTTCATATATTAACTGAAAGTAAAGGGTAAAAAATCTTTGCCAAACTCATCTCCTCTCAGATAAATACATAGCAGTTGACATATTTCACTGCGGCATTGCATAACAGAAGCATCTAGAGTTGATATATTCATATTCCTATGGACATAAACTCTTTCCACATGAGTATACTCATGATATCTACTCATTTAAAAAGTTCTAATTGCTAAATGCATATTCAACTCGACTGAGTTATAACTGCGAAATTTTAGAAGAGAAGTGTAATTGCTTAGAAGATAAATATCACCGTTATATTTATTCTATGGAAAATTATTAATTCGGTCTTTTGCATTAAGTAACAAAAAGACTATGTAATTTCTTTCATTATATATATATATATATATATATATATATATATGTTGAAAATATATTCAAGTACGTCTACAAGTATTTATCGTAATGTTGTGATAATTTCCAATCTAGAAGATATTCCACCATTCATTTACAGATATAAAGTTTTAAAAATGTTTTAAAAAATAAAACATTTATATTACAAGAAATGTAATTATGTTCAATCTACATAAGAATATAATTGTATTTATTGACATATAGATGTTAGATTTATAATTAAAGACAATTTAAAAGAAAAAACTTTATATCTAGAAAAAATCTAACAAACTTTTTCTTTAACTACTTAAAATGAGAAAGACTATATTATATATATATATATATATATATATAATTTTTTTATATTACAATGTTCAGAGACATAAAAAAGGTATACACTATGTTATTTGGTTATAATTATTTTTCTTGTGTTATTTTTCAAATAATTACATCGAATGAAGTATTTGCAATTTGAACTCGTTCGAGTAAAGTCATGCCGTAATTTTCCATATATATACACATCTCTACTATAAACAATACATTTTGAAGAAAAAAAGAGCATCGACGGTGTATATTTTTTAATGTAGGCACTATCATCAGCAACATACCCGTATTATGCAGCGGCGGCAGCGGCGGCAGCGGCGGCCGCTGGTGTAGCTGGAGTCGGTGGGGTTGGTGGGGTTGGTAGTGCTGGTCAACTTGGCTATTGGTATCCACCTCAGTCTTATCCGACGACGGCGACGCAGATGCAAGCAGGTGGCTTCCTGCAGGGAATGCAAGGCTATACGTACGGTCAATTTGCCGGATATCAACAAGCCCAGTACATGGGGTAAAGCAATTCAGGACTGTTTTAATCGATAACTCTCTCTCTCTCTCTCTCTCTCTCTCTCATCTATCTATCTATTTCTTAAAAATATGCAATTTGGAAAAGATCTTTTTGCCTTTGATATTATTTTTTAAAATAAATTTCAATTATATTGAACAATCAAAATATAAAGTTTCACAATATAAAGATTTTTCATCGGATCTGAAACGTAAAACATAAAACGTGATAGCATGCTTATGGCTTTGCAAATTTATTGTTTATATTGATTTTGATAGTGGAAGATTGATTAATGACATAATGATGATTAAGTAGGCTCATGAAAATTAGCTTGTGAATAACAAGTGCCATTCAGGAAGCAGAAGTGATATGTAATAAGAGGAAATAACGCCAACTAACGGAATTACAATTTTATAATAAATTGCACAACTCAACAGAATGGGAATGGGAGTACACGCGGCAGGTACGACAGCTGGCTGGGGTCAGGGTCTACCTGGCGGACCCCAGCTAACACCCCATCATGCAACGACGGTGACAGGTCCTCCAGGTGTTCAGGCCGCACCTCCGCCACCACCACCACCCGCGCAAATGATGGCTTATCCCATGCAACAGTTCCAGGTAATTGTGCAATCGAATGCAATCCAATTATTATTCTTTTGTTCACTTTTATGTGTGTGTTTACACGTGCTATTGCGTGCACGTATAAAAGATCTTATCATGTTTAACTTATACGAAAGCTTATATGAATCTGTTTTACCGACATATGTTGTATTCAATGTGGCTTATGCAAATTTTTAATAAATATTATATTGTACATTTATAATTATTTCAACGAAACTATAACATATATATATATATATATAAGTATTCGAAACGAGAATACATACTTGAGACTCGGAATTAATTTCCAATATCACTGAATCAACATTTTTTTTTACATTTCTAAATACATTTCTAGAAATGGTTAAAATGCTTAGTTCAGTAGAGATTAAATGTTTTATGATTAAAAAAAAAAAAAAAAAAATTATACAAAGAGGTAAAACAAACAAAGCTTTCAGAAGTTCTTTGGTACATAATGGTTTGACAAAGGTTTACTTGTTCATTATAACGTTATAACATTAGAAAAATTTTGCTTGGTATTATGAGTAAAGCCATACTTAGACTATAATAATGTACAAAATAATTAAAAATATTGTTTATATTCTACGTTTTCAAAAAGTAGCATTATACGTAACTAATTGAACCTTTGTATTTTTTTAATTATTTGCATCGATGCTTTCATTTAGTGGTTGCGTTTGCATTGTTCCTTAATAATGACTGCTCGATTGATTGTATATACATCTTATTAAACATTCTAATAGTATCCCTCTTTATTCAATTCATTCCAATGTTGTGTATATTAGAAATTAAAAATTAATAATAATGAAAAATTTTCTAAATTTATAAAGGCATGTGAAATATTTTAATATTTAGTATAATATTTTCAACTTAAATAGCGTAAGATTAAAAAAAATAATATTCATTCTCAAGCATGAAGAATCTCGAGAATCTGATTAACCTTTCACGATACAAGCAGTCAGAAAGTACTCGCACGCATCTCATATTCTAAATATCCAAATCGCTTGCTTAATGACACATAGCGGAGGTCAAGTGCATGAGTAATTAGAATTTACATTCCTTCTTCTATTTAAAAGCAATTTGATATTATTCTTATAAATTTTCAATTATTTATTTTTACTAATTTCCAATGCTAAATATTATTCATCGATAAAAAAAAAGTTCGAAATTATAAAAAGTTCTTTACTTAATTGTTAGCATATATAATTAACATAATAAAGTATTTTTATCCATATTGTTAGAAAACGATTTCTTATTAATTAAATAATATGTTATTATTTGTTATAGAATTTTTTAAATTATCGGTATTCAATATTTTAGGCATATTTTCATTTATCTGAATTATAATAATTAACCCTCTCTTTACCATGATATTTTAATGAATTGATCTTGTATTTGAAATCTATTCTCAAAAAGATTTATGAGAACATAAGATTGTAAGTTTAAGTTTTCTTTATAAACATATTTAAAAATCATTTCTTAGAGCTATGCAATAATGAATAAAATATTATAATATTGTGTATAAAAAATGTAATTAGCAATAAGTAAATAATTATAAACTTGAATATTTTACAATAATTAAATTTTACAATAAATAATAAATTTGCTCTACAATCTTAAATTTAATATATTAGTAGCGAAATATAAAATGCGTCAAAATTATGAGATATTATTTTCATATTTTATCATTACAAGTAATTGCGATAATAGGATGCGAATAATAAATTACAGCTTCTTCTAATTTACTCATTTTATATTCGTAATTCGGGATAGGTGTTCATTCTTCATTCTTTTTATTTATAATGGATTAAATAAAAATAATCTAAATTCAATGAGAAATACAATGTAATATTATTTAATTAATTGTTAATAATTATTTCACCATATTCCGTTTAATAAGTAATGCATTCACTATTTACATTCATTTTCCCTATAATAGCCTTCCTTTTTTATAATATAATACTTTTATAATTGTTGAATTAGCAAAAACAAGAAAAAATTTTACTTAGCTTATGTAATATTATAAAATAAAATGATGACCAAAAATGGCAAACAAATCCTTTTACTTTTAAATATAAAAAAAAAATAATAATATTTACCGAACTCTATGATAAAGAGAAGGTTAATTACATTCTCCATATTGTTAATTGTTTAAATAATGATAGCCTTTTACGACACTTGCTTATTCCTCATCTTTTTACAATCTTAAAAATTAGCTAATAAATACAATGTCTGCTTATGTTAATTGCTAGCTCTGTACATATAACTTACGTCCCCCTCTCTCCCGCCCCCTTGACCAAAAACATCACGGACACCAAAAAATGAATTTAACCGATGCGTTTCTGTGTGTTCAAATTCGTAAAGTGTGTTCTTGGTTGCGGTCCAGCTAGCGGATGAGGATTGGCTGACGCCTAGCCTCCTAGTGTGATGGTAAGCAAGCGCGAAGAGAAGCCCCCGTCGATAGGCATCGACGCAGCCACTAGTGTGACTACGTCAAGGCAGGCGGCAACTCCTATTGATACTACTACGACTACTACTGCGATCGTGGCGACAATGACCTTCATGATGATCATTGTGGTATTGGATTTACAACGACGACGAGGACGACGACGACGACGACCACGACCACGACCACGACGACCACGACGAGCACGACAACGACGGCAAGTGAGAAAGAGCGCGGAGCCAAAAGCTATGCAAAGTCACGTGAATAGCACCACATACTTAATCGGTATTGATAGACGCATATATTTACAAGCACGAGGCTAAATACACAAGGATGACGAAAGGAGTCACGTGAATAACATCGGAGCCCCATATAGTAATAGAAGCGTCGACGGGAGAAGAGAATTAATAATGATTACTATTATATATTATATACATAAATATATTTGTGCGCGAGAGAAGATCCTCGCCTCAAAAATAATTGAAAAAAGAAAAATCGTCAAAGTGAAGGGGATACTCGCATGCACAAATATATAATAATAATAATAATAATTAAAAAAGCAAAAAAATATATATATGTATACATAAATATATATCTACATGGTGAAGGAGGAGGTCGACGGTTTTATTCAATAATCACATGCAAAAGTGCTTGAACGAAAGCAAATATACTTCCGGGAATGTAGGCGATGTTTAGTATATCTACACGCCGCACAACGAAAATGAAAAAAAAATAAAAAATAAAAAATAAAAAAATAATAAAATGGTTGCAAAGAATGAAAATAGGAGAGACGCAATTCATTATTTTTGTAGATTCAGTGATGAGCGTGAAAGTGGGAGAGATTTTTGAAGAGATGAAGTAATGGAATGTCACACCGTCGACATTCTTTGGTTAAATTGTAAAAAGGAATTATTAAATGATAAAAGATCGATGAAGAATTGAGCGTTCAAAAACAAAATATGAAGTGAAATTGTGTTATTACAATGCTATTGCTCTGAGAGAATTATTATAATAAATAAACTAAATAAAATGATTAAAATTAAGGAGAGGAACGCGAGGTTGAAAAAAAAAAACATACTATTTAGCAGCAAGTAGATAGTTAGTTAGGTACTATTACAAAAAAAAAAAAAAGCGGCGTTTCATTCGCACTCGAGGGCCGAGCCAAAATTCGATAACGACAGGGAAATCGGCTACATTAAAACGTATATAGATACGAATTATAAATAAAGAGAAAAGAAAAAGAGGCATAGACGGCAAAGGTTCCCTTTAAAATTCTTTTAATCAAAATTGTTTTGTCTCAAATGAGATATAAATTAAATTTTAAATGGAACTTCTACCCCGAAAATTATAGAAAAATTGTGATTGAGGATAATTGATTTATTCGAACGCTATGATAAAAACAACTTGCACTGGAACAGAATTTGTAATTTTTATAAATTAGTATTGTTATTTAAAATTTTTTTTCTTTTTTTTTTTTCAATCGATCGAAATATTTATTCGACGACTATTTAATCATCATTATTACTAATCATCATTGTTACTTTTTGAATACTAATTAATTTTTAATTTTACGTTGCATTGTCTTGTACACTGAACTTTTTAAAGTATTAAGATACAAATGCAGCGTAGTTTATAAAGAATTAAAATGTTTTAGGAAAGAAAAGAAGCGCGCTATTATCAATCATTATAAATGAGTAATTGTAAATAATTAAATGAAACGAGATTTTTTTATACACAATAAACTTGAGTAATATTTTACATAAGTTAAAGAATGAAACAAAATATTTTTAAATAAGCAAATGTATATGTTTAAATGGTATAATATTTAAATATCAAAATATTTACTATAATTTTAAAATTATATACTTCTTCATTAACGATATATTTGATAAAATTAAGTCTACTGTATTATTATAAGTAATTTATAGATTTGAGCTAGAACGTCGATAAGTCTTTTTTAAGCTGTGAGCAAAAAAAAAAGAAATAATGGATAGTATATTTACTATTGTTTATCTTATGAGAAAAAAATTAGTAGTAAAACAAGAAATTTGTCAATTTTCGAAAGAAACAAAATTTTTCAATATTAGTTATAAAAGAGTGTCTTGAAGAATCAGATAAAAAAAGAAAGAATAGAAGTAATAGAGAGAGAGAGAGAGAGAGAGAGAGAGAGATCGTTATAGATAGTAAGAGAGAAACAGAGAGAGAGAGAGAGAGAGAGAGCGAGCAATTCTAGTCTTAGATAAAATACACGCAAATAAATCATTTTTCCAACGTCCAAGCGTTTTTAACCAGAAAAAATAGATTTTTATAACGGAAAAATCGTGGTAACGAAATAATAATAAAATTGCTGTACCGGATAACCGAAAATAATGTCTACGCTTCGAATTTTGACTCGGCCATATGTATAAAATGCATATGTATACATTCGATAGAAATAAAAAATAACTAGATGCAATTAAAATCTTATCATATATAAAAAAAAAAAGTAATTAAACTGCATCAAAATGGTGTACGAACCTCGAGATGCGAGATGAAATAAATATAAACAAAAATCTGTAGTTAGATACACAATTGCACATTGCACAAGTTAATTAATAAGAAATACCAAAAACAAAAAATAAATAAAAATAACATATTTAACAAGATAATGATAAAATGACGATAAAGTGAAATTTGGTCGCGTGTCCCGCGTTGTCACAGACTTCTCTAAGATTTAGTCATGACTTTTAGCAACGAAATTTTTGAAGAAGTCACTAAGAGTAAATGTGAAAGTATGAGTGTAATAAACGGTAAAGAAAGCGAAATGGAGACTACACATTTTCTTTAACTTTATCTTACAAGCTGATATGAAAAAATTCTTCAACAAAACTGAAATTTCCCTCACACGTAATACCGCATCTCCTTTTCCTAGTAAACTTTTTAACCTTATTATATTCCAATAATATTCAGTTGAATATAACAAACAAAAGACACTATAAAAGTTTTCTGAAGATATTTATAGAATTAACTTCTGACCAACTTGACGAAGATGGAGATGATTGTATAACGTGCTTAACCAGTATTCAGGCGAGTTATCACTTCAAAATCTAAAGAACATATATAGTATCAATTAAATAAAAATATTAATAACTTTTAATCCTCAGTATTGAATGCTGCATTTTTTTTTTTTATAATTTAAAAATTTGTACATTTTATTGGAATTTCTATTTCCAATTTTTAATCTGATCTATCTAATGTACTATTTTAACAATCATAATTCATTGGATTTCGTTAGGAAAACAAAATATAAAGTAAGCATTATTTGAATTTTGTTGGAAAATAATTACTCGTAATAGGATTAAGCATTGAAAATATCATTTCAAAATGATTGTCGATTCTGCGCTTCGAAATAATAAAAAGATGCAATTGATCCAATTACTGAATATACCTATGTCTAATTTATTTTAATAATTTAATTTTAATGTAAACTAGCTTCGATCACTCATGACGACATTCACAAGGACATAATAATTTTTCAATATTTTGAATATAAATTAAGAAGTTATAATTTCTTCGTTATTTTTTTTTTTTTTTAATTTTTAATTAAATTTTAATAAGCAATTATATATATATTGCAATTTATTGATTTGTTGATATGAAAATTCATTAATTCTGATATTATTATTAAGCATCAAAGTAATTTAAATTTTGCTTAAATATTTCTTTAAATATTTATTAACTAATAATTAAAAATTATACATGTATAGTATCAATAAATAGTTAATTAATTAATTATGTGTATATATATATATATATATATATATATATATATATATATATATATATATATACATACAAATATTTGATATTTACTATATATTCTAACAAAATTTAATTACTTGGATGTTCAATAATGATATTCGTAGACTTTATATAATTTGTTATAATTAGTTTATACATATATAGATATATATTGTTGTTTTATTTAGAAAACATGAAACGTTAATGTTATTAGTTACAAAATTATAACAGTAGCTGTAGCCAATAGTTTCTTCATAGATATTCATGACCATTTTTAAATATTAAAAATATTACAATTATTATCTGAAACACTTCGAAATAGCATATTAATACTGAGATATAAATGATTTCTTTTCAAACATGATAATTAATGTTTTCATATATTTACAAATAACAAACAAATAACACTTTCAGAAATGAAACATAAATTCTAATAGTCATGAATGATCATGACAAAGAAGTATTAGAATGAAAAAGCTTTTTGAATTTTTAATGTAACATAAAAGTTATCTTTTAAGATTATGTATAAATACATGTGAATTATGCGCCAGCGACTTGTTTTTCCTTACTGACTTATTGACTATATATGTGGTACTTATTGACCAAACTGTAATATTAATTTGTGTCATTTAAGAATATTTGAGTAAAATGAAATAAAGTTAACGAAGGACAAAATAGCCGACAAATCAAATTATTTATTCATTATATTATATAACGTAAAATGTTAAAATCAGTGATAATAAACTAAATCAAAAATACAGCTATTTAAAACTGCTATTTATTCTGTCATTTTTATTTTATTTTATTATATATATATATATTTTTTTTTTTTTAAGGCCCACACTGGTCGTTTGCATCCGGCACGACATTAATATATTGTTTTTACAAGTAAATAATGACTACAAATTATACTGAAAGAATAAATGTTTTTCATAAACAGTGAATAAAAAATTGTAATGCATTGTGATTGCATATATGAGTGTGTACATCTATATTGTAATAAGCCTTATAAAAAAAAGCGTTATGCGAAACACGAGCGACAATGCTATAAAAAACTAATTGTTATAAATATATAAATAAGTCTATTAATATACATCAATGCAATTAAATATAAATACATCTCCGTATATAAATATACTTATATACATATATACAATATATAAATAAGCAAGCGTACACGTACATTAAGCATATAAACACCCTTCTCTCCACGACAAAAATACACAAAAATATACACGCGCATACATCCACGTGCACACACGTACACGTGTGCACAGAGAATCAAAAACAATAGTTTATAATAGTGATGAAAATTAATAATCTAAACGTATAAATACATTAAACTGAATAGGAAACATGAAAAAATGGCTTAGTAAAACAATTGAATTTGACAT